TCGGGTTTTTGTTTCGATTTTTGGTTTAAGGTAGGGACCTCTGTTTCATTTGGTAAAAAGGTTGTAGAAGGGATGGAGAGGGCCAACAATTGTTCAGGCAACCAGTTTTTTCCCTTCATCGCCCATCCGTCGCCCGATTTTTTCACTTCAAAGCCAATGCTTGACCACCTTGGGCCATTTTCTTGCACCCTAAACCCCACATAATTTGTGAGTACACATCTGGGAGGCCCACGAATATTTGGTGGCGGCTAGTAATTGCTTTGAACCTTTTTGAACGACCCTTTGAAAGTGGGTTGTTCTCCTCTCCTGGTTTCACTATCTCCAGTTTTTTGACACATATTGTGTGAGCACACATGGGAGGCCACCAATATGTGTGGCCGGCCAGCAATTGTTCTTGGACCTTTTGACCCCTAGCGACCGCCATGGGAAGTAGCCACCGGCCACCTGCAAACCTGATAACCAACCGGCCTTTACTCCTTGCTGCAGTACATTCAAATATTGCATCTCTTTTCCCCAGGTTTTGTATCGCGGGGGCAACTTTTTGGGAGATGAAATTGAATTTCATTTCCCCCCGCCTATTTTTCCCCCCTTTTCTCCCCCTCTTTCACCTTTAAACAACGCCTCCGAGGCTCTCCGTTTTCAGGGGTTAGAAAATTTTGCCTTTGAGCTCCCATATTGTATCTCTCTTCCCTCTACATTACAAGCTTCAAACCTTCTCAAGTCCTACACTCATTTCTACACCACCACCTAACACCACACCACCACTCCATTCCAGTTAGCTTGGTAGGCTTCTCAGAGCTTTGGAGGCACCTTTTCAAGCCAAAAGCGCTTGCTAAAGTTTTGGTCTTCTCAAGGGTGAGAACTTTCCTCTCTTTAAGCTTTTTTGTATCTTTCTAAGCCATACATTGCTTGCATATTTGGCTTCAACCCTAACTGAAAAATAGCATTTTCTTGAGCTCTCTTTCATGTTTGTTTAAGGGTTCTCTCACTGTTATGAGGCTTCCTTGTTCACTTGCTTCTTTACCTCTCTTGTATGCCCTTGTTTGTTTGTAGTATTTTTTGGCCTTTACGTGTAAACTTTGGAGCTCTTGTAATAAACTGTAAAGGGCTTATTTGAGCTTTATCAATATCTTTCGGGTCTGCATCACTGTTTGAGGCTTTCCATTTGCCACTTGCTTTTATATCCCTCTTTTGGCCATATTTTGCATGAGTTTGTTAGCCCCTTGTGGCTATTATCTCTAGGCTTATGGTAGCCAAAGCATTATTAAATGGCCTTATTTTGACCCCCCTCTTTCGATGATTGACAAGGGTTCTTTTGCTTGTTATGAGGCCTCACCTTTTTATCTTGTGTTTTAAACCTCCTTGTTTAGGCCTTATTTATGGCATGTTAGTTTTATATCACTGATTATTTAGGATGATTTTGGATTGGTCGTAAACTGATAAAGTGCTCATTTTGATGAGCCCCATCTTCGGACTTTGTTTGAAGGGCTTCTTAGCCTTTAGGGCCATCTTCTATCACTTTGCTTCTTAATCTCCCGCTTCGGGGCCATTTTATGGCATGCTAGTTAGCCCCATTTGTTGGTTCGCTGTGCCTTTCTCATTAAACTGATAAATGTATGCCTTGTTTTGGGACGTGTATTGAGTGCTGTCTTTACATTCTGGCTGTCGAATAATTTGCATGCTTTGTATAAGCTATAGGCTCATTGACGATATCCTAGTTCTTCGCAATTTCGGTCTCATTCTTGCATCGGGTCGCGTGAAGATTTTGTCGTGTTGTCGGGGCATGTTTTGCATCACTTTTAGTGCTTGAATTCGCATGTTCATTACCGTGTTCCATGCTTTGCCATTGCTCTTGTATAGAGTGGGCATTTTCGTGCCTTAGGTTTGGCCTCGATTTGCGTTGCACGTGTGCGGCACCATGTCGAGCGTACTTCGATTTTCACCTCTATCTTGACGCTCAATTTGGATTCTTTAGTTACAGTACCTATCGCACTGTCTGTGTATCCAGATTGTCATATTATGGCGATTGTCGAGCCGAGTATTCATTTGCTAGTCAGCCGATTGCTACTGTAAGGTATTATACTCGAACGTATGTATTACCCATTCCGTCTCTGGTGCATCGATTGAATATACATTTATGAGCCATTGTGCAGCTCAGGTTGTAATTAGTTGCATTCACGCATGTCATGCAATACTGCATTATGCCTGGGATAGGAGTTAGCCCTGAGCACGAGGAAACGAGGTAACTGTTTCGTTACTTCGAGGACGGAACGTGTCTCAATTTTACCATCACCGACACTCCGGTTATCCATAGGAGTGTTAGGTTATTTGTATTTTCCTGGTGCATTCATTTCCAATTACATTGAGTACTGCAATTTGACTCTCGGCCATCATGCATCGATGATGCGTGACTTGCTGGTGGCACTAGGAATCGCGGCATGTCTACATTTTGTGAAGAATGCACATTGCACATTCCCTTTTCCTGCCTCTCTGTCTGCAAGAAATGCTAAGAATTCAGTAGCCTTTCAGAAGGCCCTTGCACAGCATTCCGCTCAATCTGCGAGAACAAAGAGGCGTCATTGGGGCATCGCATGGATTTTCCGTAGCCACAGCAACCCAGCATGGCATAATTTCATGCATCCGAAAGTGCAAGCAGTCGAAGCGCGAGTCCCTAGCTTGCATTGCTAGTTTACACGCTTATCCTAGTTTAATTGTTAATTAATTAGGATTTGTAATTATTTCTTAACTTATGGATTTATCATTATCTCAGACCCTCCGTGCGGGCGCCAAGATTGTAATAAATGTGCGTGTTGTGATGATATGTCTTCCAAACCCCACGTCTTTCCCCTTTTATTACTTGCCGCTGTATGATGGTCTAGATTAAGCATGTTTTGAAATTAGCAATTACAGTATGCATGAGCCATGTTTTGCTATCATTCACTCTGATTATTGCAGTGCACGGGCTCGGCGCATACTACTAACTTGGCATCGTATTTCAATTCCAAGTTGAATACGTGGTTAGCGTCGTAGCATTTCATATGCCATGTTTTCAAACCTGTCCGAGCCATATAGTTGCAGTTTTTGATTTTTGCATTAGGCATTTCTATTTATTCTAGGATCATGGCATGTGATATTCTAATTAACTTCTGTTTTGCCTTGAGTACTCGGTGAGTTTAGCTTTAGCTCTTGCATGCGTTCGTGAGTGACTGCCATGAATAGCATGCTTACCATGAGCTATTGCTTATGTAGATATAACTGCCCTGAATGCCTATGGGGTGAAGGTTGGGTTTTGATATTAGAACCAATTCATCAAATATGTGTTTTAAAAGCCCACTAGATAAGTGGCAAAAATTCATGTTTTCTAAGCCCACCCCCGAGGGTGGAAAATCCACGTCGTTAGGGCCTTACTTGCGGACGGTTAGCACATCAAAACCACTTTTCAAACAAACGAATGATCGAAATGTTTTGTCCAATTCAGGCGACCCAGTCTCCTATACTTGTTCATGTTGTGCGGCATACACATAGTAATTTCTAGGAGTAATAACCCGGAATAAGAACACATAATGTTTTCAAAGAAATACATATCTGATGGTTAAGCTAGAGGGCCGATTCTATTGATCGTCGGCGAGACGGGGGTGCTTCACGAAGTGACCTTCCCAATCGTTACCCAGAGTTACCCCAAGCCGAAGTGCAACTTTTGGTGCATGTGATCGGACCTGCGCTAGAGTCAGATCCCGACCTGGTGACCACGTCGGTCGAACTAATCTATAAATTTTTCCCAAAATAAAATATTTAGTTGTGATGACTCTGTATACTGGCAAAGCAGAGTCAATTTGGCCACTTTCGTTTCAAAATCTGTTTTCCAAAACGATTTGTCGGATTTGGGACTCTTTGAGTTGAGATTTAGAATCGTTGACAATTTTAAGTCCTGAATGTAGTGGGCTCCCATATACTCGGAACGGAACGGGGGGGACTCGTTCCTCTCCCGGGCGTCGAGGACGTCTACACCTAGCTCCGAGCCGAGGCAACTTTGTGATGGCGACACGGATGGCATTTGGCACTGAGTCAGGGTTTTCCTTAAATTCCCCCTTAAAAAAATCATTTAGTTGGGAACTCTATAATCTGTTTCCCATCTCTCGCTATTTAGGTGGCGACTCTGTATCTGGCAAAGCAGTCCATGTTTGGCACTTCTTTTCTAAAAATCTGTTTTCTCAAAACGATTTGCCGGATTTGGACTCTTTGGTTCAGATTAAGAACCGTGACACAAATTGAGTCCGAACTGTAGCACGAAGGCCTCACACGGGCGCGTCTACACATACCACCCTTTCTTTTTTTTTATTTTTGTTGTTGTCCCCCCCAATCTGCTTTCCATCACCTCCAATAAAATATCTCTCTCCTTCTCATCATCATTCTCCCTCAATTAATCAACTTTGCACCCCACCCTACCATGCACTCTTTTTTTCTTTTGTTTTTTTAACATAATTGTCCACCCCCCACCAAATATAATCATCATCATTTAGTATCATGACATTTTCTTTATCTTTCCCCCTCCCCAAAAATCCCTCCAAACATTCTGACCATACTATTTTTTTTGTTTTTGTTGTTTTTCTTCCCTTTTTTTTTTTCTTCCTTTTTTTTTTTTTTTTTTTTTGTTTTTGATTTTGGTTTTGATGAAAACACCTAAAAATATGTACACACACATAAAATTATAAAATATTATAAAATACTACAAATTAATAATTTGGCCAAAATGGGTGAGGTTTGGGATTAAAACTTCAATATGAGTTTTCTGCTAAGAAATTCATAAAATAGTATATTTCAATTTTCATCAATGGGTCTTCAAAACAAAGTGCCCAAGTCTTAGGAATGGTCAAAATAGGGTGTCTACAAACTTGGAGGGCCACGATATCATCTACAGGCCGTGTATATTATATATATTGAATGTTATGGAAATACACTTGCACATATATTCATTAGATGCCTCTAGTTTTATGGATGTGTTGAATCCTATTCTTTTATGTTCACAGTTATGGTTATTCCAAAGAAAGATTTGTTTGGTCCTTCATATCTGTTGATGGTATCTTTTGTCTTGGTTCTGGTGCTACAATCGTTCATAGCATTCAAAACTTGTGCACTTCTCAGGTAATCAACTAATTGAATTGTCTCTTGACAAATCTACTCCATTTTTTCATTCCTGAAATTTAGATGCTCCTATGTTACATGATGTAGTCTCATTATGCAACATTGCAATACAAGGGCATATGGTAACAAAATAAACGAAGATGTAGTCAAATTGAAAGCATGTTATTCAGATTGCTGCAATTTTTACATTGAAGTAATTATATTTTCTCTAATCTTGTCAAATCATGGTACTGCTGCTTCTTTCTTTGTAATCTGTCCCTTAAAATGTTGTCAAATATGCAGGATGGTGCTACAGTAACAGGTATGCTCATTGCTGCTGCATCATTGGTTGCGGTGAATACCACAGGAAACGCAATTTATGATCTCATTGGTTCAATTATAGTGGGCAACGTTCTTAGAATGGTAAGTGATGTGCTCATACTTGCCTTCAATTCTTTTAGCTTAATATAAATGCACACTAATTTTCCTATATTGTGATCAAGTAAATCATTTACATATTTGAAAGTTGTATTTGACAACCTAGAGTTGAATTGTGGTAAACAGATTGTACAATTGATACAAAACTTGGCTTCTATAACTAAAAATAACCTTCCTTTTTCCAAATGTTCCATTTGTTTTTGAAGGCATGTATATAGCTTTTGCTCTATGTATTTAAAGAAAATCTAAGAAATGTATCACTATTAAAGAAAATCTAAGAAATTTATCACTATTAGAACCAAGAAAAATACAATACCTTAAAGTAGACTTTCTGACAACAATATCCCCTGCCCAATTAGAGTAAAAAAAGCCATGAAGATCAAAGGTGCTTGGACTGTAGGTAAGACAGTGGAGAAGGCAAGCTAAGATTAACGCTTGTAATAATAACCTTCCAGATTGTCTCATTGTATCACTGAGACTACATCAAGTTGGTTTATAGATTGAATCAGGAATGGAAATAGGTGCACCCAACCAAAATTCTTGTAAGCTTTTACGAAATGAAATCAAGCAATTTCATTTTTTTTAAGTAAAATCTCTTACTCTATAAATTTTCTTTTTTTCAACTTTAGATTTTTACCCTCGATAAATAGAGAATTTATGTCTGCAGGAAGCCATGGAGATGATGGTTGCTTGCTCTGCAATGGCTTTAGCAAAAAGGGAACAATTAAAAGGAGGAGATAACCAATCACCAGACAGCTTTTGATACAAGTGGAATTGTGGAGGTATAATAAGTGCAACTGTATTAACCGGAGGAACCTTGATGGCAATTATTGGTGGTTTGACATATTCAGCTCAGGCTTTTGAATATTTTAAATGCAATTGGCCAATAAGCTTCTAATGACATGAGTATTTTTTCCTGATGAATTCATATTTTATTGGCAACAGGGTTAACTGCTACAGTTTTTGCCACGGGTTTAGGTGCCTTAGCACATACATTGAGCACCCTTGCCCTTGTGATAGGAGCAAGCGGGTTTGCTATAAAAACTGTTGTCGGTAGTTTTGGATAATCTCTGAATAGTTTGGATATATTTAGAAACCTAGATGCATAGTTTTTGGATGATTTAAACTTTTTGGACAGTTTAGAACTTAAAAGTATAGTTTTTGAATGTTTGGAATGTATAGACAATTGTTGAATGTTCATAATTTATGGATATAGTTTCCTTTTTATGCTTGAAACAATGTTTTGGTGGTTAATTAATGTTTTGTGAAGCTTATTTTAATGTTTGTTAGATTGTACAGAACAGGTCTAATAATATTTTGGTGGTTAATTGATACATATATATATATATACATATATATACATATTTGTGAAATTTGTTTGTAATTTTTTTTAGATTGTACAAAATAGGTGAAAAAGAACCTGTTGAGAAAAAAAAAAAAAAAAAAAAAAAAAAAAAAAAAAAAAAAAAAAAAAAAAACATATTCTACGATTAGCAGAATAGGCCGTTGTGTTAAATATTTAATGACTATCAATGAGTGTCGTGGTTTGTCTCTTGAATTAACGACGTACAAAAGTAGTCGTAGAAAAATTAAACATGACCTATAAGATGTGCTGTTAAAAGTTTTAACAGCATGCTATGGCATGCCATTAGAAGTGAATAACTTTCCATGACTGGTCATAATATTGTTAGAAATGGTTTTGGAAAATTAGGTTTTTTCCTAAACTTTGGTCTATTTTTTAGGTGGGACCTATGCGTAAAAGTTGGCGGGTCTAAGTGGTAACGTGTTCTATGTCGCGTTGTGATTCATATGGTATATTTGGTTGCTCAAAACCATTATCGGGTGAATAGGAAATTGAAATCAAAGAGAGCTCCATGGAAATGGTATATTGGTAAAGTTTCCTTAAAGGTTTGAACTAAAGGTTTGTCCGGCATTGGTTTGGTGGACAAACTTTTGTAGGTTTATAAGGCTTAAGTTTACAACTTACGGAGGGCCCCAAGGGGCACCCCAAGTTTGTAGAAGGGAGAGGTTATGGGTAAAGTGGGTTAGACCCATTGGACTCAAAATTAAACACACGCGCGCGCGCCGCTTTCCGTCCGTCCGAACGAGCTAGGCTTGGGTTGGGTTGGGCTGGGCTTGTCCGACCCAATACTAATTATGTTTTGAAATTTAAATTTCGAAAATTAAATTCAAAAATTAGCCATTACACCTGTCCAGTTTTTTCCCTACCCGAACAGATGCATATCTGTTTGAATTTAAACCAAACAGATTCATATCTGTTTGAAATTTAAACCCAACAGGTTCCTCACCTGTTCATTCAAACCGAACAAGTATAATACATGTTCAAATAGGTTTGTACCTGTTTAATTCAAATCAAACAGCCACAAATTCTCCTATAAACAGATAGACCCTCATTTGGATTTTGCATTCAGAAAATTCATTCTTCTCTCTGTAATTACTCTCTACATTTTGCTGCATATAATTTTCTGTGAGAAATAGTACAAACACAAAGTGTGTTCGTTGTGCAGGTGCGAATAATTTGTAGTGTTGCAATTATTCATTGTTGATCATTTTATCTTCGGAGATAGACGTCCTCAATCTAAAAGCACTGTGGAGATGACAAATCTGTCTTAAAGACACAGTGTTAAACACTGAACTTGATCAGAATTTTGTTCAATAAATATATAAGGTTAGTAATTAATTTACTTTTTGTTTTATTTATTTATTTTTTATCAAATTCTGATTTTGTTTTTGTAACAGAATAAGAATCTATTATTTTATTTTATTTTCTTTACTGGTCTGATTTTTGTAATCAAACAGTCTATCTCCTTTTTTTATTTCTTCTGTTTGTTGTTAAGTACACAAATTTTAATACAATGAAGATTGTCCTACAATATTAAGACAGATGATTTTGGTGTCCTCATTGTATTTATTTTTTTGTGCTTTCACAAAGTGATATTCTGGTTGGAAAATGCAAATAATAGTAATATACTGTTTATTTTCTTTGACAACTAGTAGTAATATACTGGTGTCATTAACAATTTCATAATATTAATTTGTGTAGTACTGATACAGGAAATTATTGTGTAGTATTTTATTTTTCTGGTTTTAGTAACTAGAAAAGTAAAATTATTTTGTGTTATAATTTATTTTCTAGTTTGAGTAACTAGAAAATTAATTTTTGTTTAGTTTTGGCTTTTTCTGATTTTTTGTAATCAGATATTATGGCTGCTGAAAGTAGTACTCCAAATCCGATTGTTACAACGACTTCGGTCCCTATCCAGAATCATGTTCAAGTTTCTATAAATCATGGAGAAAAATCAAAAAAATTTAATGGCACAGAGTTTAAGAGATGACGGCAGAAAATGTTGTTTTATCTTACAATTCTGAATCTTGCCGGTTTCTCCGTGAAAAGGCTCCAGTACTTAGAGAGGATGAAAGTGATCAGCAAGTTGTTGCCACTGTAGACGCTTGGAAACATTCTGATTTTCTGTGCAGAAACTATATTCTCAATGGCCTTGACAACATGCTGTATAATGTTTACTGTTCTCTAAAAACAGCAAAAGAATTGTGGGATTCTTTGGAGAAAAGTACAAGATAGAGGATGCCGGTACAAAGAAATTTGTTATTGATAAATTTTTAGACTTTGTTATGGTAGACTCCCAAACAATAATTTCTCAAATTCAAAATTTTCAATTAATTTTGCATGATATTCATACTGAGAATATGTCTCTTAGCAAGTCTTTCCAAGTCACTGCGTTAGTTGAAAAATTACTACCGGCTTGGAAAGATTTCAGAAATTATTTAAAACATAAACGCAAGAAGATAACCACGGATGAATTGATTGTAAAACAAAGAATTGAGGAAGATAACCGTAAGGTTGAAAAGAATAATGGTAAAAATCCCATTGAGTCCAAGGCTAATGTGGTTGAACATGTACCCAAATCATATAACAAAAAGAGAAAGTTTGCTGGAGATAGTCCTAAACAAGGCGACAACAATGGCAATAAAAAGTTCAAAGGTAAATGCTATAACTGTGGCAAGACCAGACATGGAGCCTCTGATTGCCGCTGCCCTAAGAAGGATTGCTGAAGTATAAGCAAGAAGACTACCAATCAAGCCAATGTGACAGGACTTGATTACATCTCTGACGGGGTAAATGACATCAATCTCTCTACTGTGGTGTCTAAGGCTAATTTGATTAGAAATCCCAAGGAATGGTGGGTTGACACTGGGGCAACTTGACACATTTGCGCGGACAACAAGATGTTCACTACCTATAATAAGGCTGCAAATGGTAAGCAACTATTCATGGAAAATTCATCTACTTCTGTTATGGCTGGACAAGGGAAAGTAGTCTTGAAGATGACATCGGGGAAGGAACTAACCCTCAACAACGTGCTGCATGTACCAGACATCCAAAAGAATTTAGTTTCTGATTTTTTGTTAAATAAAAATGGTTTTAGGCTTGTATTTGAGTCTGATAAATTTGTATTAACAAAGAGTGGTATGTATGTTAGTAAGGGATACATGGGTGATGGTCTCTTCAAGTTAAATGTAATGATGGTTGTACCAAAACTTGCTATTAATAAGAATAACATATTTTTTGCTTATATTCTTGAGTCAAATTTATGACATGGTAGATTAGGACATGTAAATTTTGATGCTTTGCGTAGTTTAATTGGTTTGGATTATATACCAAAGTTTGAAATTGATCCTAATCACAAATGTGAGATTTGTGTAGAAGCGAAACTAACTAAGGCTCCATTTAAATTGGTTGAAAGAAAAATCGAACCTCCAGAATTAATTCATACTGATGTGTGCGATCTTAAATTTGTTCAAACTAGAGGAGACAAGAAGTATTTCATAACATTTATTGATGATTGTACAAAATATTGTTATGTATACTTACTTAGAAGTAAAGATGAAGTCTTAGAAATGTTTAAACTTTATAAAACTGAAGTTGAAAATCAACTTGGTAAAACCATTAAAATGGTTAGAAGTGACAGGGGTGATGAATATGATGCACCTTTAAATGAATTTTGTGCACAACATGGCATTATTCACCAAACTACAGCACCCTATTCTCCATAGCAAATTGGAATTGCTGAAAGGAAGAATAGAACCCTTCAATAAATAATGAATGCCACATTACCAAGTTCAGGCTTACCGCCGAACTTGTGGGGAGGAGCAATATTGTCTGCTAATTATGTTCTTAATAGAATACCCTACAAGAAAACGAATAGCACTCCCTATGAATTTTGAAAAGGTCGACCACTGTAGACCACCCCGAGAACTCCCGCTCTCCGCGCCGCAAGGGCGCGAATCATTTTGTTTTGAGCTACTACAGTTCAGACTCATGTCAAGGTTCTGAATCTAATCTCACAAAGTGTAATGTGAGATCAATAAATCACCAATGAGTCCAAATCTGGCAAATCGTTTTGGAAAACTGATTTTTATAAAGAAGTGTCAAACATGGACTACTTTGCCAGATACAGAGTCGCCACCTAAATATTTTATTTTGGAGAAATCTAGGAAACCCTGACTCGTGCCTAAGGCCACGTGTCCGTCATCTCCAAAGTTGTCTCGCCTCGAGAACTTGGGTACGAGAAGGGAAGGTCATGCAATGAGCACCCCCGCTCGCCCGATCAAAAATCGGCCTTTACTAACATGATATTTTGTTTTTGAAAACGCATGTGTTTTTATTCCGGTTATTAACCTAGAATTACTATGTGATGTGCGCAGCATACAAGTATAGACTAGATCGCCTAAGTTTGAACAAAACATTGCATGTTCGTTTGTTTGAAAACAGTTTAAAGTTTGCTACTCGCAAGTAGGCTAAGTCGCAGATTTTGATGAATTGTTCCAATTCAAGCAATCCAACCTTCACCCACAGGCATTCAAGCAGTTAATCAAATTTGTAGTTAGCCTCATGGCAAGCATGCTAAACGTGGCAGCATTTACACACATGCAGTATGCTAAAGCGTAAACACTCACAGTGTACTCCGAGCCAAAACAGAGAACTAGTTAGAAATCATGCATGATCCTAGTTCATGTTAACATGGCTAATGCAACACATGCAAAAATATAGCTAAAATAGGCTCATCTATTCTAGAATGGCATATGAATGCGACAATTCGATACATGTATTCAACTTGGAATTGAAATACAATGCAGTTAGTATGATGCGCCGAACCCAGTGCATACAAAACAGATGAATGATGCACGCATGCAAGCATA